AACACCTTTCAATCTAAAATTTGTACATTTTAAAATTAAACCTCACATAACGTTTTGTTTGCTCTCCTGATTCTGTAGACAGTTTTATTTATTTTTGTTTCCATCGATTATTTTATCGTTTGTTATTCTTATTGTGGAAACATATACCTATGATAGAGTATGGTTTTTAATAAGAGTGAATCATTTTATCAACTTTACATCCACCACAAAAATTAAGAAAAGCATACCTCACTAGCATCAAATCCTAAATTCTTCAAAACAAAGTATAATTTTGTTTTTACATAACTATATATAAAATTACAAAATTGAACTCACAGAAGCAACCGTTTTATGAAACTGCCCAGCGCTTATAAACTTTGTTAATGCATTTTGATATTCTTGAGAGCCTGGTGTTAAAACTACTTCTAAACATTGTTTTCCAGTAGGCTTGCACGTAATTTACGGACTTACGGAATTACGGAATTATTTCGAGTTACGGAAGCGAAGTTACGAATTAGGTAAAGTCGTAATTATTGGTCGAGCGCTTTCGCGATTGAAACGAGCTCTCTTCAGAGCAGTCAATTTCGTCGATTGTAAAAAATTAAAGTTTAAGTAAAAGAAGTTAGAGTTCCGGTATTCGCAGCCGTTTTTCTCTCTCTTGTTAGGCAGATGGGGAAGGCATAACGCGTCATTTACTAACCTATTATCAACTTATCTAGGATGGCCAATGTACATATTAACCGTAGATAAGGAATAAAATTGTGTTGAGACCGATGGACGTCAACACACCTGGTTTCAACTTCTTCGGGTGAAATCACTAAAGAATGTAAGAGATCAACTTATAAAACATGAACTATTTGTAAATGCCGTGATAATTAATGTCGCGCTTATCAAACAGCAATATAAAGACGGAAGAGAAATTGCGTAATGAACCAACGCAACTTAGTCTTTTCGGCATCGGTAAAGAGATTGAGACGGCAGAGAAACAACAATACGACGGGATTTCCCGTGTTTATTCTGCGCGAGATCCATTTTCTATTACAAAATCTTGATGTTCTGTTACCGATTTTATCGTTATATATCTGTCCGGACTTGGCATTGCTCAATATCTTTTGCACAATGCCTCGCAATATGTCGGCCAAATATGATTACCTGTCTTTACCAAATGCGGCAACTTATTTTGATTTATCGTCGACTCGAATACCACCAGCACTCGACCAAACTTGTGTCAATCTTGGCAAATAGGATTGTCGACTTGAGTTAGAAAAATAAATTAATATTTTCATGAGTGCAAAATAAATGTCACAGAATGCATTGTTTTGCGAGATAACTTTGTATTTTCGGAGAAGGCATGTCATATAAGTACGGTATTTTAAATAATGCGCAAATAATTAATATTTGATCTAAATTTATCGCAAATAATGTTATAACTTTTAGGCCGCGAAATGATTTAATGTAAAATGGAGCATGGAATTCGGAATATCGTCAATAAGTCGGCATCAATAATTATTATAAAATTCTAACTAAGTAATAAAGTCGGATATTGTAAAAAACGGTGAAATAACAAGTCTTCGTCGCGAGGCAAGCGAAAGTATAATCAAACGAGAGAATACGCTTGTAGTTGATTAATAAATTAGCAACCCGGAATTTTTATTTAATACGAAAGTCGTATTAATACGTTAATACGATTTTAAAAAGGGAACTATCGTTTCTTAAATATATTACCAGTGTTGGTAATGATAAAATTGATCGCATAAAATTTGGTGATCAAGTGGTTAAAAAAATCAAAGCTAATACAAAAGATAAAAATCAGAATAAAATTATTTTGAATTCACTCCTTGATATTTATCTTTAACATCTGTCGCCGGCGTGTAGTACTGCCGGGAATATTAAAACCAAACTTCGATGTCCCATTCGGAATAGAAGTGGATTAAATTGGTTGTTATGATAGGTTTAAATGTGTGAAAAAAATATCGCAATTACGGGGTCATTACGTAATTGATTTGGCCGTAATTACGGAATTGATTTTTGTCAATTACGTGCAAGCCTATTTTCCAGACATGTCATCCCAAAAAGTAGGAATATCTAAAGAGTGATGCATTAGATAAATAGTGGACATTTGGACAATGATAGAAATATATATTTATGAAGAGTTCAATATACAGAATGATTCACATGAACTATTATAAACTAATTAATCACCACAAATAAATATTTTTTAGTTGAATTAGAAAAGTACATTGATATTCTATCACATTCCAACACAAAACAACAATTTAATTTAAACCACTGACACTTTTTTCTTTTAATCTGCGTCGAATATCTGGTGGATTTTTACCATGTGGGTCATTATCAAAATTAGAGAGGTCGATAGTGTTTTAGATCACTTTGGCTCCATCAAATACTTGGACTTTGTTTAAAGTTGGGTTAGTGTTGTCTCCATTGCGTTTCTGTTGTAATAGTAAGTAAGATTATTATTAAGTGAGTTGAGAGAACGGATATATCCTATAAAATAATATGTACTCTCAAGTGCCTCCTCATCTTTTTCTCAGAATCTCCCAACCCACGATGAAAGGGTAAAATTATCATATCCCTATCTTATGGTGACTTCTTGAATATTTGCCATTTTCAACACAATTTTTCAAAAACTCAAGGAGTCCTTGTGAGTTTGGTTCACTTCAGAGTGAGTTTTAATTGGGTCACTTTGAGCAAATATTCATAAAAAATATACCAAAAATAACAAAGAATTCCCAAATATTTTGAATTTTCCAATATTTTTTTCTATCTGTTTTGAAAAACAAAGAAATACTAACAGCACCCTGTATGCCATTTCCAGTGTATACACAGCACGTATCGGAAAAATTTTCCATGCTCCAGCTTGATCTATTTGTTGTGAAATGACAAACGCAGCACAGGTTTCTGCAGTTTCAAATTCTTTCAAAATATTCCTTATTGCTTCATGAGTATTGACAGAGAAGAATTTGTCTCATTATGCAAAAACACCCAAAATTTGATCACCAAATAAATATACCGTGGCCATCAAGTCTACTCCATACCAATATCATGCCTAAACATAAAATGCATATATACATAAATGATATAAAACCACATGAAATTAAAATGACTCCTAGCAAATTAAAAGTTGAAGGGAAGAATTCAACATAGCTCTACTGCCTGTCCAGTTGCAATAATTATTAATTTTGCAGGAACTATATTATACTATCTACAACCCTTAAACCACCACTCAAACATAAAATCATGCATGCAAGATAAGAAGGACCGCATATCAAGAAAAATGTGAGAAACATGTGAATGTGAACAGTTATTCAAAGAAAATACCATCCAGGTATGTCAGCTACCTTGTTTTAAAAATAAGTAGCCATGCATGTAACAATACCATTCTTTTTTACCAGACTTGATCTGACCAATTTACCGTAACATATAACAATATTATTATAGCTGTCCAACATTCGCACGAAAACAATAATGTGCAAGTGTGGAGTTTCCCAAGTTTTTGTCATTGAACACCACCAGAAGTTGGTTTCACCAGTGTAGTTTCGGTACTTTTGACAAATATGTCGTCAAAGCAATTAGGTAGCGCATCGTTATGGAAGTCGTAAGCTAATGATAAAACTTCAAATTTCATCATATCTTCAACATTAAGTATATTTAGCGATTTGAGGTAATGGTCTTTATTTTCACGTCGTCTTTTACCAAGAACAATTCGTAAAAAAATCATTACAAATATTCTGCAATTTTGAGACAAGTGTTTTATTACCATGAAGCCAGACTGAACAACAATATCGAATATGGTTGTGCAGTAATGATTGAAACATTGCTAATAAAGCTGATTGATTAACACACTGAGATACTTCGTCAGAAACTGCTAAGTTTCTTTTTGTTTTACCATTACAATGTGCTATTTGTGATTTCCAAGATAGATTTTTATCAAAGATAATTCATGAGTATTTTATTTCTTTGACTCTCTGAAATACATTTCCATTGAGCAGCAGAGGTTTTGTGCAACTTGCACTTTTATGCTTGCTTGGATGGAATTATACAAATTTTTGTTAGAATTCAGGGATAATTTATTAACCAACACCCAGCTGTGATTCTTGGTTTGAAACTGTAAATAGATCTTCCAAGTTTTTCCTTGGGAGAATCAAACCAGTGTCATCAGCAAACATGACTGACTCAAAAGATTTCAGACACCCACCCATGTCATTAATGTAAGCTAGAAAAAATAATGGCAAAGTAATGATCCTGAGAAACTCCGTGCTCCATGACACAAATATTTGTAGAGAATGAATTGTCATATTGCACAACTTGTTTCCTGTCTTGCAGATAGCTCCTGATCCAATTGAGTGGGACTCATCTAACACCATAGTGATGAAGCTTACTTAATTGCGCCGCCTTATAATTAGAAAACTAAAACCGTCTTGTGCGACCTCAAAGAGTCTTTCGTTTGATCATTCAAAATCAGTGGATAACAGATAATTTGTAAAAATGAAAACAAACCTAAAATAGCAAAAAAGCACATGTCTAGCACAGCAGTGGAGATACAAATGTTAAATGTTTATTGAATTATAAGAGTGATGTTTAGTTATGTTGGGACAGAACCCGCTTTTATTTCTCAACTACAAGCTATTATTAGCAACGAGTCTTAAATGCCATTACTTTAAACACGTTTTGAGCCCATACCTTACATTCACCTACTTTTTTTGTCTAAATCCTACAAATGCTGACCATTATTGAAAGTAAAAGAGTATAATGGCAATTCATATGTATAATATTATAATTAGAATCAATATCGGAATGAGCTTGGTAATGCACCAGGAATACTAACATTCAAGTGATTTAAAAGATATTTTTATAAAATTACAACAATAGAAGATATAGATGCTGCTCAGCAGTGCATACAGCGGATAGAATTTTAGATAATTAAAAGCAATCACTGATCTTATTTGATATAATGGCATTACAAATAACAGTTGCAAACATAAAATTATTTAAAAAATGAAGCTTTACAGGGTGATTCAGCAAAAGTAATTTGCTGGAATGACCAATTTTAAACAGTACCAACAAAACCTCGACATCCAGTTTAAAGAAAATGATAGTGTGATTCTTGTTGGAATATCTCTATGTAGTTAATGTAAAAAAGTCCTTCGATTGTTTTTTAAATAGAAATTTAATTAGCACAATTTTTGCTTGGATAACATTATATCAGTATATACTATTTAGAAAAACAGTCCAAGATAAAAAAAACTATTCATACATAGGTAATGCGATAGGTAGGGTAACCACTTGCATCCTCAAAAATCACAAATATGCTAGGATTCATCACGTTATCAACAACACTATCATACAAATCATTCTTTATGTTGCTTTGTCTCTGTGGAGGTGCAACAATACTCTGATTTCCTTTGCAATAATCTCCAGTTATAACATCTGCAAGAAACATTCTTCGATGTCCAGATTGATTTAGTGTTGCGTACCCATTCGAATAATTGGCAGTTATTGCGAAGTAGACGCCTCGGCCATATGCAGTAGCTTCGAAATATGAAAACATGCTAATTACACATTCATCTCAGGTATATAAATACTGTGATATAACATTTGTACAACTAAAATTCATGATAATTTCGAACACCTTATACTTAAATGCACGTTGAATTACTTTTCTGAATGATGCTTTTTTGTCAATTCATGATGTATATTTACATTTCTTCTTTTTGGTGTATTTCTTGACACTGGTTACATTCATTAAATTTGGATTGATACCAAGTAAAGACAATTTTTGTTGTCTAAAGTGTTCATCAAGAAAAATGGGTAAAAAACACGATTGTAGAGCATTAAAATTTAATGCCATACATAGAATCACAATTCTTATCTGTGAACTTGGTACATTTCTTTATAAATCGTGCCATATCATTCAAAAACGAACCATTTCTTATGAATACTACTCAAGCTGTTAAGCACCAGACCAAACACCTCATTTTTAACGGAACGGATCGAGAAAAATTTGTTGATGGCATACCATTTTTTCCAGCATAGCTTCTATTAAAACCGTGAAGCATAATTTGGTCATCAGTCGAAGTGCAGTGAAACAATTGTCGTTCAATTGGTTTTCCAAAATTTTTTCCATGTTTTTCCGTAACTTCAGCCTTCTTTGCAACATATTGTTTGTACAGGGACAGATTTTGTATTCTTTCAATCTTAAAGCATTAAAATAATAATTTTACCAGATGATAGGTTTGAAAAGCTTTACAAAATACAAGATGTTGGAGGTAATTTAGACAGTGGTTCCCAATTTTTTTGTGCCATCGCCCCCCTACAGTAATTTATACTCCTTTATCGCCCCCGGCACTACAAAAAAATGTAAAGTCAGAAACGAATATATTACAGAACAAGCAGAGCAAGAGGACAAATCATAGTTTAAAGTGTTTTTTATGAGATGGATGACCTCGATGGTCTTCAGCAACTTTTTTAATATTTGGTAACATTTTCGTGACGCACAATCTTAAATCAGTGGTTCCCAACCGCCGGTCCGCGAAGCTTTTTTGCTGGTCCGCAAGAAATTTCGCTGTTTTTATGCCGTCTCAATCGCTTTGCCGAAGACGAGGTTGCGTTTGTCTATTGCGCAATTTCACTTCCGCCGTCATATTGGCAGCGAGTGATCACACTTTTCGCTTTTTCGGCTGCGATTTATCGCTTCATCAAATCTCGCAAGATTCAGAAACCTAAAAATCGGCAGGTGTGCTTTTTCTGTTCTGCATGCTTTTCCTGATTAATATGACAATCCATATAAAACGTTGAGAATATTTTCTTGTTTGAACCAGAAAACAGAAAAGAATTGTATAATATTCCTGTAAGATATGAACTTGACCTTGTAGGTGGTCACGAGACGCACAAAAAAGCATGGGCCGCTGAGATTTTTTCCAGTATTTTGAGTAGACAGTAGAATTTTCAGCCTGTTCCCAAGTTACAGACGACTTTGTCTTTGTAATGTAATTTGATTTTGTTTGAGGCGTGGGTCAACTACAAATATAAACCCGATGAAAAAGAAAAAGCTTGATTGAAATTGGGATTTTACTTTACCGTCCAGATTTAAAAAAGAATCACTGTCACAATTTCAGATATCTCTTGATAACGAATACCAATGAGCATATATACACATTGCGAATACCCATCGCTAAGTAATAGAGCAACCAAACTGTTGTCCGTATTTTCAACCAGTTACTTATGCGTTATGCAAAAAAACATTTTCATCCCTAGCTTTAATTAAAACGGAGCAAAGAAATCGACTACACGCCGCTGCAGAGCCCCGTGTTGCAGAAACTTCTTTGAGGCCTCGTTTGTAATCCTATATTGAAAACGAAACAACAGCAAAATTCTCACTAGAGTTAATTGTGTTTTTACATGATTTGGCAAGTACATGTTTTTATATGAGATATTTTATGTATGCCATTCTTACGCATAATGGGTTCCCAACACTGCATTTCATTGCGCAAATATATGGTATTATTTTATGTTTCACCCATTTCAATTTTTGGCCGGCACATTATTTGATAGTTTTTCTTCGTGTGAAATGTTTTCAAGTGTGCCTTTTTTGTCTAGAAGCACATTGAGTGTCCGACATTGCATTATATTAAGCACATATATGTTATTCTTTTCTGTACCGGTCATTCCAATTTTTGCCGGTCCGCGAGTACATTTTATTTAATTTTACCGGTCCGCCAGGGTAAAAAGGTTGGGAACCACTGTCTTAAATCACTTCGTTTGCTGATGGAAAGGCGTTTCGTAGCAATAGTGTCACAGCTGAAAACCACTTTTCCACCATACAAGATGTAGGAAATGAAAGAATCCAGGGTTCTACCTCCTCAAAAATCGCCGGGTACTTGCCCGATGACCTGATAGTGGGAGAAGCTGTAACCGACCATCGGCTGCGCCAGGGTCGGCAACCTTTTGTCGCTTGCGGGCCAAAATTAAAGGTTGCAAGTCTTGGCGGGCCGCACATATTTTTGAAAGGTAAAAACAGAACAGCGCGCGAAGACTGCGACAATTCGTGAACTCAACTCATTCGTCTTATTGGAAGAAAAAAATTACATATGACATTTAATGTGACACTTGTCTTGTTTCCGCATCACGCTTGATAGCTTTTCGACGGCACACCGAATGAAGTCAAGATTGGAACATTTTCTAAATGGGCATCACTAATCTTAGTTCTACGCTTGTTCTTTGTAATGTTCCAATTTGGAAAATAATTGTTCGCGCACATATGTACTTCCAAACATCGAAGTGAATTTTTCCACATGATTTGTCAAATTTGGATAGAGATTTTCTTCAAGAAAATACATTTTTATAAAAATCAAGCAGTAATGCATCTCTCGAATAAAATATGAATTTTATTTCCTCACTGCGTTGCATCTCAAGAAGCTCCATTTGAATATTTTCTGCGCTATTGAAAACCCTGCACTCAGCATCAATTTTTCTGCGTGTTGCCATTTGTCTTATTATAATTAAATTGCAGGAACGTTAAACGAGTAGCTGTTCACTAAATTATTAGGATATAATATAATTCAGTCTAAACGTGTCTCACGATAAATTATGCTACATAAAAAATATAATCTACTCTTCAAGCATAGATTTTAAAATTATTTCATTGTCAAAACCGCCGTTTTGACGCTATATTTCAGTGAAGTGTCACAGGCCGGATTATTTCACCCCCCATGGCCGGATCTGGCCCGCGTGCCGTAGGTTGCCGATCTCTGGGCTACGCAGACTACCCTACGGCGCGGAGGAGTCCAGCAGGAATACCCCTGCGAATGCACGCAGAGTACAGAAATCAAGTACACGATGCGCCAGCCGCCAAACAAAAAAGGTTTCGCAAAATCGCCTCCTTTGTTTTTTTCGCTCCCTTTTGTATCTTTTTCGCCCACCGGGGGGCCATATCGCCAACTTTAAGAATCACTGATTTAGACTATCAGCAGACTCATTCCTATATTTGTAACATTCAAATCAAAGCATTTTGAATCTTGAACTGAGTAATGTTTACCTTACTCAGTCTAGACCAGTTGAAAGACTATGGTTTTTTATATCAGCAAACTATTCTATTAACTTTCCCTTATCCAGAATAATCAAATATCTTAATAGCAATAAACAAAACAAGAAACATGAGTGTATTACATAAATACATGTTTATATATACAGGAGAGTAATGCTCAAATAAATGGAAATGAAAGCCGAAACAAGGTCTATGCAATCTGTCACAGTAGACTACCAATAGTAGCGAAAAATACCACTGAACCAACCACTGAAAATATCAAAGCAATTTGTTTGGTACCGGTAGTTAATAGTAAAACCAATTTTTTCAAAACAAAAAGAAGAAAAGAATGACTAACAAGAACAACAACAACATAATAACAAAACTATTCATATGTACACTTCATGTCCAAAAATTACAAAATTTAACTCACAGAAACAATAGTTTGATGAAATTGCCCAGCGCTTATGAACTTTGCGAAGACATTTTGATATTCTTGAGAGCCTGGTGTTAAAACTACTTCCAAACTTTTTTTTCCAGACATGTCATCCCAAAGTGTAGGAATATCTAAAGAGTGATGCATTAGATAAATAGTTAAAAATGCTAGGAATGTATTTATGAAGAGTTCAATTCACCGGTATACAGAACGACTGCGCTGAACTTTTATTAAAATTAATATCTAACATTAACACAAAACAAATACTTTTAAGTTGAATTAGGAGAGTACATTGACATATTCCATAAAAATAAAAATGCAAATAAAAAATATTTACCACTGACACGTTTTCCTTTTATTTTGCGTCGAATATCTGGAGGATTGCTACCATGTGGGTCATTATCAAGTTTAGAGAGGTCGATAGTGTTTTGGATCACTTTGACTCCATCGAATTCAGGTACTTGGACTTTGTTCAATGTCGGATTAGTGTTGTCTCCATTGAGCTTTTTTTGCAATAGTAAGTAAGATTTATCATAAGTGAGTTGCGAGCACTGATATATCCAATTAAGTAATATTAACTCTCAAGGGCCTCCTCATCCTTTTCTCAAAATTTTCCAAACTACGTTGACTTGAATTGTTTTGAGGGTCAACATATTCATATCTTATGGTGACTTGTTGAATATTTGTCATTTTCGACACAATTTTTCCAAAACTCAAGGGCAGTTTGTGAGTTTGGTTCACTTCAAAGTGAGTTTTTATTGGGTTCACTTTGAGCAAATATTTTTTCTATCTGTTTTAAAAAACAAACAAATACTAAAAGTACCTTGTATGCCATTTCCAGTTTATGCACAGCACGTATCGGAAAATCTTTCCATGCACCAGCTTGATCTTTTCGTTGCCAAAAGACAAAAGCAGCACAAGTTTCCGCAGCTGCAAATTCTCTCAAAATATCCTTTATTGCTTCATGAGCATTGACCACATCTTTTGTAAGACCATCCAATCTCAATCTTTTTATATATCTTAATAAGAAAAACTATCTTAGAAAAAAACTAAATTTTTATATTTGTCCTTCAGAAATGGAAGGCCTATTCCTATGATTCACTTGTCTGACTACTGTTCCATACAGAATATGGAAGTAGCCTATTAGTCCAGCTCCTCTCACATCTGTATAGTGGAAAAAGGGACTGCCATTATATTTTGTAAATCTTCCTTCGAAGGGAAGAAGTCACACACATAATTATCCCTAATACAATACTGACCAGTGTGATAAACCTCAAAAACAAATACACACACTCAAGATGGCGCATATACTACTACTGATGTATAAATGCATAAAATAGGATGGATATATTTCAATGTTTAAATTGGATAAGATGAAGGCTGACTGAATATAATTTTCCCACATTTTTCTTTGTCACGAAATTTGGTTGAAGGTTCAGAGAATTTTTACTGCCATGGAGTTACCATGCTTTGAGAGTAATGTAATATTTCGGGTTAAGCATTTAGCCTACTTGACCTGTTACAATCCAGTATAAAAAAAATGACAAAATTCGATACTGGTTTTTGTATGTTACCCCAATATATTAAAAAAATACTTGATGTTTCAACTTAATTCATAGATTCAATGTTCCAGTACAAATTGTATAAACAAGAAACAAACTTGTCCGAAACATCCGTGATTTCAATCATTCCGCTCCTCGCAATCTTCGAGATTTCAAACCGTTCCCATTCACCTAATCTACCAATAACATCATCAGTGATAAATTGTTTGTAAATTATCTTTCGAATCTCATTATTGATAGAATTGATAGCCTGCAAACGTTTAAAACAATTGATATTGATTCTAATATTAAATTCGGAAAGGTGTAGATGACACAATGAACCAGCAAAAAACGATTTCATTTTTCAATTTATTCCAATCAAATTCCGCACCAATTCATTTAAAAAAAAAATATCATTCCAAAAAAATTTGGGTAGATGAAATGTGTGCAGGTTTTTATCCCTGGACAGTGACTTATGTTATGATGGATCGCTGAACTCTTGATCATCGTCAGGTAGTTCATGTAATCATTGTTGGTCTGTTAAGACTACCTCTGCCATGAATTCATGCCACTGAAACTAGTAACTAGTCACAGTGCCTAATATAGACTGGTGTATTAAACTGTCTTATCAGAATTCCACTCAATGCAATAAATACAAAAATCCTATCCCACTAACATAGTAGTTCGAACTATTGCTGTACACTCGCACAAATGCCATTTTTACAGATGCTCAAAACAGTAGGGTAGTGGTATAATCATATCAAATATTTAAGCCACCAAGGAATGGAAATACGAAAATCCATTCAATATGTGTTACAATACCTCTTGTATATCTTCTCTGTTTGTTGAGTAAAGATATAAAGGAAGAGAATTATCTTTGTATGCGATGACTTCTTCTGCAGGTCCACTACCATAAGAGAACAAACCTGCCAAATTGAAGTAATTAGCCAAATGAAGTCTAATTTTTGCAAACCAACAATCCTCTGTTAAATTTTGTAACAAACCCAAGCAGCAGAGCATGATTACTAAGTTCAATTTAAATTAAAATGGCACTAATTTCAACAACAACAACAACAACAACATGTTATATATTTGGAAGAACAACGAAAATACAGTAATGGCTTGCTAGTGATATCTAACAGAAGAAAACTTGGAGGTGGTAAGCAATAGTTGTAGCTCCAAGAGTCCATATTATTACACTTGCATTAAGCCACTAACTGAACCTGACAGTTCGTCAATGATATAAGGTCGACAACTTTGTTAAATGAATAAAAAAAATAATGAATAATTAGGATTGCACGTAATCGAGCAAAATCAATTCTGTAATTACGGTAAAATTGTTTGCGTAATTCCGTAATTGTGATAGTTTACCTCACTTTGGCATTTGCCGATTTCTCTAGCCATTAAGTATGGAATCAACAGACAGGTGTTACAAGCATCACATTAGATTTAAATTACTTGAATAAGCTGGTACTGGGCGAACGAAATAAAACGGACAAATAGCCATACCAATCCGAAACAACAAAATGAAACTGACAAATTGCCAAGCGAATAAGCAACATTTGTGTTGGAATTAACGTATATTATTTGCAAAACCCGAATAAAGTGAACATTTTTTCTCCTTAAACTTCGTATAAATCCGCATGTATTTCATATTTTGTTGCGACGTTGACGAAGAACGTTTCCATAATTCTTTGCTCAACCTAAGATCGAAAATAAGGTTTTATTTTTCGGCTGTCCTCTGTTACGTTTTTTTTTAAATTTAAACCGAACGATAAAATCCGCGATGGATACTGAATAATATTTAAAAGCTATTTTATACGCTGAATATGAGATTGCAATAAATGAAAAAAATATCGTTATGCTCAGTCACTATCGAAGCTGAGGATGAAAACAATTAATTACGACACAATATACTTTTGAATTTAATGCCATGGCCGCCCAGACTATCTCAATGAAGTTGAAATATACGATAATATTTGTAAAATATTTTCACTCAAAACGTCCTCGACGTGTTACAAGTACTTCAAGACGGCGATGATTTAAAGCACTGTAAATCGCAAATTGTTCGTATTCCGGCGGTATACATTATTAACTGAAACTATAATTATCATAGTTACTGAAGTTGGAACAACCAATTGTGCACGCGGTGTACCTTATACACTTATATAAATAAAAAATAAATTACCGCGGCGGCAACACTGTTTATGATTTTGAGGACATATACGCCAATTAATGTGAGGTATGTTAAATCAATCATTTTGTATTGTATTAGAATAAAATGTACTTCTTGGGGCTTTCATTGCAGATCTTAGGATCATTATAACGACGATAACGAATTCACAAGATCACAAAAAAATACACCAAAATTAAATCAAATGGGGTAGTTGACCCACAATTTTATGTCGACAAATTGTCGTGGTATTTTAATGTAGTTCTTTTATTAAATTAATGTAGCAAGATATTTTAAACGATCGCATCGAGCATGGATTAAATATCCCTTATAACAAGAAAATCCTTACGCGTTGAAAAACACGACAGTTTCGAAAGATATTTCATCCGATTTTAAAACCTCCTCTTTTGAAAATTCTGCCTGTGCCCCTGATTGCAACACGCAATTACCACGATTTCAAGTGATAACTTTGGCGCACCGCTTGGTAAAAATATGAATATCGCTTATTTCGTAACTGGTAGACATACGAGCAAATGTTTTACTCTAGAACAGTGGTTCTCAAACTTATTTAGTCCCAGAGCCAAATTTTAAACCTCAAAGCTGTGAAGAGCCGCACACAAACAACGCAAGTTAAAATAGCAACAAAACTTAAGCACGTATTTAAAATGCCAAGTTATCGTAACAACAACACACGTAACAACTGGGGCCCGGCAAAATATTCGAATAAAGAATCGAATAATAAAATATTCGAATGGCATTTTACTATTCGATTATCCGGTGCCACGTGACCTGCGCCGCTGCGAACTCGCGCGTCTCCAACTCAATCGTGAATTGTGCGAGATTTCCCCATGGCGCTAGCTACCAGAAAAAAAGCGACAAATTTGAAAAATCGTTGTCTTTGCGTTATGGTGTTATATACTTTTTTCTTTGAACTTAACGTATCGTTTCAATACTATATTTTGCAAAAAAAAAACATACCGACCGTTCCGTAAATTTAGAAACCTCAAACCAGATTAGGTATATAAAAAAAATTTCCCAGATTTTAAACTCCATGTCATTAGCCATTTCGTGCATGAACCGAACATAAAATTGATTGAAATCAAATGTTAAAATGACTTTTCGGCGTTTCATTGTGAAAAATGCGATTTTAGGTCGTCAGAAAATTCGAGTTATATAAATAGCATGGATTTAAAAATGATCGAAAGTTTTTCCAAAAGCTGGTATGAGTTACTTGTATGAAAAACACTCATTAAGTTGTAACCAGATAAGAAATGTCATGTCCTACTCCCTTTAAAGCACTTTCTATTAGCTCTGTAGTGACCCCTTCCATCCTTGGCCAAATAATGTTTCGAATATGTAAAAATTTTACTCGACCATGCATGACCGTTGAGCCAAGAATAGAACGTAAAATCAATCGTGAATTTGGTTGTAACAATGCACACTGACTCTTTTAATAATTGTTGCGCCTATTATCATCGCAAATGATTACAATTGTTAAATTTCGAAGCATTTGAGCAGTAATAATTAGGCATGACATAATCAAAATCATTAAGTGTAGTGCTGAATTTGCAAATTCCGTAAATGAAATTAGGCTTTACTCAATACGTATTTTAGCTATAATAACCGTCGGGGTGTTGTTTGTTAAAAAAATACTTTTTAACTTGAAGAAATTAGTTATATTTAGCGTCTGACCCTCTATTAGGCCCAGAGGCCTAGAAATGACTTTATTGCTAATTTATTTAATCGCTATTTTGAATCAACATTCAGAATTCACGCAATCGCAGATTTGCGAGATTTTATCTATATAATACTAAAATAAAATAATTTGAACACCATAGAAAAGCTGGAGAAACTCAAGTATCGTTTCAATAAATATCTTCATCTGTTACCTTAGTCAGTCCTTAATGTCTTCAACAGCTGTTGCTGATGTGAACGCACAGGTATACTAGAAATATAAAACTTCGATATCCGGCTACCCCTTATACTTGCAAAAAACGAGAAAGGGCGGGAATATAGATTACCAACTTTAGGATATCGCCGTCGAAACGATCGCGGTGACAAAGACAATCAGCGATTATGATGAAATTAACCATTAAAAAAATAATAGAGTTATTTGATTTACACATAATATTCGGCTGCGAAAACGCTTAATGTTGCGTCACTATTATATCTTGTAGATTAGTCAACGCTACGGAAATAAACACGGAGGAATCCATTCGACTAACTAATAGACTTAAACATTTCAATTTTAAGTCAATAATTAGTTTTCAATGAAATTTTTTTTTGAAAGTAATTGATTTTTAAAGCATTAACTAGAGCCGCAGGAAGGGTTGTTGAGAGCCGCATGCTGTTCTCAAAGCCTGGTTTGAGAATCACTGCCTAGAACTTGATTGCCAAATAATTACAAGTTCACGTAATTTCAAATTTGCGGACTTAACTAAAAATAAATTACGTAATTCCGTAAACCCGCAAATTAAGTGCAAGCCTATGAAGAATAATTTACTTTTCTCAAAATTAAGAAGTTTCGACCAGTTTCCCTTCTTTGCAGTTTTACTTAAAATTGTATCTTTGAAATCTTTCAACAGTTTTTTGTCAAAGATTACAACTTTCACGGACGATGGATAGTTGGAATTTGGATACGATTTCACAAACAACTCGATTGAGGCTCGCATGATCGATCCTACAGTTGAACAATCCATATGAAGATTTCCTGAACAAATAACTATGTTGATGAGATGTTCATTAAACATTATTACACTAAACATTAGTTTATATGATTTGCAGCCCATATACATCCCTCTAGAATCTGTATTTTTTTTGTACTGCATATTACGATAATTAAGACCATAAAACATGAAAAACAGCTTACCCTAGATCTGGCTACAAATCTAGCAGACAAACTCCACATTTGGATTCCAAGGTTTCAAAAGTACATAATAATTACACAAGAGGCGCACATGATGCTAACTTAATCTGATCGCCTCACTCCCAAGCAAGACTGGTATTAACAGAAAGCAAGGTTCCCTGTTACATGAGAAAGTGGATAACTTTCTCATCCTTAAAGATATAAATTGGGTGATTGGTAACCAAACAAGATTTCTGAATGTGGCAAGGCCACCCACTGGGGCCCCATAATTTTCTTATTTACATGGCAAGTCATAATTAACAAATCAACAATGCAATAAAAATCAAACCTGTTCCAAAGGCAGGAAAAGACACTGATGACAATCCTAATTTTTTGACTTCAATTAAAGCTTCTAGTATTTTTTTCTGAAGATTTTTCGGGTTGTGTGGCGCAACCAAGTGGATGATTTTCTTACAAGGAAGCTTTCCTCCGGAAGTCACAACATAATCCCCTCCAGATTGACCCCACGCCTCATTTTGAATTAAGTTGCCGCCCTTGCGCAAAATTTGGATTGACACCATACCTGGTAAATTTTTATGTGTTAGACGTACATCAGGGGTCGGCAACCTACGGCCCGCAGGCCGGATCCGGCCCGCAAAGCAATATAATCCGGCCCGCCACGCTTCACCGAATTATAGTAACAAAACAGCTGTTTTGACGATTATATTCTTTACGTAACATAATTTATTTTGAGACACCTGTAGACTAAATTATATTACAACGTAACAAATATATAATTCACAGTTACTCGTTTAATGAGCCTATAATTTAATTATTACCGTATTCGACAAATGGCAACAAAACGCAGAAAAGTTGATGCTAAGTGCAAATGGTTTAATGGCGCATAAAATATTCAAATGGTCTGTCTTCGCGCACTGCTTATGGTTTACCTTCTGATCTGTGTGAAAAAATGTGATTCATCGGCAAGTCGTTCAGTTTTTACCTTTTCAAAAATATGCACGGCCCGCCAATGACTTGCAACCTTTAACTTTGGCCTGCGAGCGACAAATGGTTGCCGATCCCTGACTTACACAATCTTTAATGAGATTAATGAGTTTTAGTGGACAGAACTGTTAAATCAACTCTAATGTATTGCTAGTTCTTGAATATTTTACTACAACGTAACAGCTTAGGGTGCTACTACATCCCAAAACGTTTCAATTTGATCTTCTGTCTACTCTCATAAATTAGTCCTAGTCTATGCATCTGGCAAGATGAGCTACTTAACTATCCTCACGCATCTACATAAGTTGTGCTTGCCATAAGTTTGACACTGGACCGGCGAGTGTTGCCTGATACATGATGAGGCTGGCTTTAATATTACCTTTTCTCTTCGAAGATGACTATGAAAATTCGGATCCATAGCAAATCCTATGTTTTATACGAATGTGAATTGCAAAAGTTCAAATATTAAAATTATGAATAATAAGCTGTGCTGTAATCAGGACTTTGTTTTAGAATTTTAATAATTATAGATTATACTCTCAATTATAGATGCAGTCTCTCAATTCTCAAACATACAAATTTTTCAACATTTGCTTTGCTTTACGTCTCGATTTGTTATAAATATTACCAAATTATGTAATAATTGTTAGTTTTAAAAAAATAAGCAATATATATTTACCTTGGGACAGATCAAAGTGTTCATTTGTGCTGTTAACTATTACATCAGAATCTTGTTGAGTGATGTCGCCTTTAATTACTGATACTCTCAGTGACCCGTAACGTGTTGTTTTATCATCAATTTTTCTAAAAATGATTCCATCATTTTTTGATTCTCCACAAGCAGGAGTGAAAGATGGGTCACCACTTGAACTTAATCCTGTATTGAACTCAGCATTGAAATCCTAAGAAAAAAAAACAATTGTTTCGAAAAAAAAAACATAATATGTAGTAGAGTTCAAGAAAAATATCTCAATGATGACAGCTAGAGTGTTATGGATCCTAGGATATTGTGTGTCAAACTGAAATTCTTTCGAATGCATATTCGAATGTATATGTAGCAGTTGCAACGAAGATGTTTGAAGAGATAGTGTACAATGATAAGCAAGAACAACACCTCTTTACAAGAAATAGAGATCACATTATACTTGTGAATTTTGTATTACAATTTAACCTCCTCAGTCAAAACAAAATATGACAATATGATCAAAGCAAGAATTACGAGATAGAAGCTTTTGCTGTTATTATCTTTGCTATTCCATGCTGATTACAAATAGAGATCGAATAAGAGATATGTTATTATTGAAGATGATATGTGAGAAGATTGCTGGAATATTCACCGCCGCAGGGTGGTTCATGAAATATTGTGGTAATAAGTAAAACTGTCTTATTTGTATAAGACAATAGACAACCATAGCGTTACATTAGGCGCTTCGAAAGTTATTCATTGGATTCTTGTAAAGTGTGTCCTTTCAATGTAGCCCACATAGTGACATTCATTAGTAACTATGGCGTTTGTTCTTATCATGTAATGTTACCATATGTTCTTGTATTGGAATATTTCTACAAGATCGACATGGTTTTCAGAAATGAGGTGACATGTTGTTAGTGAATTCAACTCAAGGAAGAAGCTGTTTTTCAAACTTGAAATCGCATCACTGGTTATTCCCATGCCTAATGTTCACTAATACAAGGGCGGGTGTCTGCATAGGACTTATGATTATGGCATCTTATAGGCTTTCCTGTTTCCTAGGTTGCTTATCAACAAACCTATCCTAATGTTAAGGTTGAATTGAATACACATTATATTATAGAAATCAGTGTTTTTCAACCTAGATTGCACAGAAACCTAGTATTCCTTAAAACGCTTATTGGGGTTTTGTGAGAGTGAGAGTGTGACTGTCCGAATTGTGTAATAATCTTCAAATAATGAAACAGCATAATCTGCTAAGAACAAAAAGGATTACTAGCTTGAGTAGTGTGGATAAGTGCATGTGTGTGGATTAAGTATTGCACTGAGCAACCTTCAGCCATAATTCAAAAAGTTTGTGACAGAATTGCAAGCGCAGAAAGGTCTCAATTTCTTGCCTCATAACTTAATAATTTTTCATTGTTAATAACTTTTCATTGTTATTGTTGAGTGTCCAATATCAAAATATTTAACTTTCATACAATTTTCAGTGTTTTAGAATTTTTGTTAATACATAAGTCAAATAGCATACCAGGGTTTCCATAAGTTTAAATGGTTGAAAAACACTTATTTAAATCATGAAAAACCAACATTGGATTATCATACTAACCATTATAAAAGCTGGGTTCCCAGGATGAAGCACAATGAAAACTTGCTTTAAATTATTTCCTTGAAAATTGGATATTTCCTGTCTCATCCATTGGGCAACAAAATTTGGAGGATGGTTATATCCTCCCGTAGCAATAGCTGGAAAAGCAATGGACCTAAAAACAATATTACGATAGTTTCAATAATTCGCAATATGGTGATTGATATACAGTGCATATAAACTACTTCATGTCATGCTGTGGTAGGAATATACAATTTTTTTTTTTAGATGAAGCTAATTGAATGTTTGTCTAGAAGAGTGAATTTCGTCAGTATAGTCCAACGGTTCCACAAGTTTGAATACAAATCTAAAAGTTTGAATTATTATCTTTATATGTGTATATTGTTTAATTAAACATTCATTGGGTTTGCTACTGTTATTAAACTTGCAACAACTTAAAGATCATTTTGTTTGCCATCATTAGATTTGCTTTTTTATATAGGTATAGTGTATACAATTTCAAATGATGCTTTTTTGCTTACAATAATTAAACTATTGCATACAAAACTTGCAACACCTTAAAGATCATTTTGTTTGCCATCATTAGATTTTCTTTTATAAATAGTTATAGTGTATACAATTTCAAATGATGCTTTTTGCTTACAATAATTAAACTATTGCATATGCGTCCCTCAAGCCCCCTAAATGTTTTATTGGGATTTCACTCCTCTCAATTTTTTTATATTTTCATTTCTATAAATACCTATAAACCCTCATGAAGCGAAAAGGAGTTGAAATGATGAATTTCAATGTAGACGCCAGAAAACAAAAAACTACAGGCAAAGCGGGCAACAATGCCGTTTTTTATTTTCATGTCTAATAGACAATAATCTCTGTAGAAGATTATCATTCAATATGCAGAGGAAGTTGCAATGTTGCAATTTGCTTCATGCTCAAGCTTAACAGCTCCATTTGATCATGTAATAAAAGAAAATTTTTGGAATTTTTAGCTAGCAAAATTGACCTCCAAGGCAATCAAATTTTACTCCAACAGGGTAAATATACAACCAGTTGAGAACATCTGGACAGAACTGATCCTAGTAGGAAAATCAATGCATACACATAAAATATGAAACGTTTGTTCCAATGTACAGTTACTTGCAAATTAACAATTCATTAAGAATGCAATATAACAACGTCAAATCTTACTGAAATCCAGACTTCTCAGCTTTATGTAAACTATTCCACACAACTAATTGTATAATTCCTTGCGAATTCTGATTATAATTTGTCACAAGCGCATGATATAATTTTCTACACGGTAGTGATCCACCATCAGTTTCTAAAACATCTCCAGCATTAAATGGCTGCTGTAGATTCGCACATTGTTGCTGGAAGTAAAAAACACAAAAACAATAAGATGAAAATTGTCAAATTAAAAACTAATTAGATACATGTTAGATAGTTTTGTAGAATTAGAATATTATTGCTTGTTTAATTTCTATTTCAGACTCTTTATATAGACATAGATTCATATTAACATTGTTTTATATAGAAAGCTTAAACTGGGTTATATTTTACTCAAAAATCTACAATGATAACAATCTGTACTTTTGGACCTTTTTGATTAAGGAACATTTTCAGCCGGTGGTTGCTATACAACGGGAGTTACTTAGTTAGTCCCCGAACTCGTAATACAACTAAAATAAGGAAAATTGGAATAAAATTATTGCTTAACCACAATCTGGTACACATACTACGTTACGGTGTCTGCCATCTTGGTTCACATACTTCAGGAGTACCGTTTCACTTCTACCATAATGACTCTCGCGCTCATATCACACTCATATCTCGAAGATCACACAAAAACACAAGAATTGCATACTATTACTCTTGCTCCTGCTTTTTGACCAAGTAATTTAGACACAGCTCCAGCGTTCGCAATATTATTCACATGTTGTGTATCTGTTACATTGACAATAACATCGACCTGAAAATAAAACCAAAAAAGTCGTCAATATAATATATCTTCTGGCCTACCTATGTTGATCTGCATTTAAAATTGTTACATGGGACAATAGAAGCAAGACGATTTAATCACATGACAGATAACACACCAAAGTATAACTTGAACCCTTGTCTGTAACCTAAAAAAACATAGCATCAGAAAAAATAAATTATTGCAACAACCAATCCCCAAAACATTTTGAATTCCTTTAAAAGAAAAACTATTAAGTCTCATGTATACTAGGGCTGAGAGAATAAGAACTGAGCAATTTTATTGATATTGAATTTTGGAATTTGCTAAAGTAAGTGTGATTCCGGAGTTTTAAAAGTGAGAAGGCTTGGATAATATTTTCTAATTGAGCTTGGACTTGAAATTGCTTTGCACTCAAAGTCGAATTTATTAGCCAAGATCGAACTTTTATTTGACTCTATATCCATGTGCAAGCCATTAACTCAAACAAATGGATATAATGGTGATTGGATAGTCTACAACAGGGGTCACTAACCCGTTGCCCGCGGGCACCAAGTCGCCCGCAGCGACCACACCAGTCGCCCACAGGTCTGTTTAAAATATAGCTCAATAACGGCGCTTATGAGTAGGCTGCATCTAGTATTTTTTGTCCTGCTATTCTTGTATAAATCAAACTTATACGGGAACTGGAAATGACACTATATTACCTATAGACCTTAGACATTTATAACCCATCCTACGTGTAAAAATAAAAGTGACATAAAAATTGTATTTAACATTAGCTCTTATGGAACTGTGATCACCAGAGCAGAAATTTGCATTTTTGGGGATTTTCTCGCAATATTTTACGATGGACGTGTGCAGTTTTGAAGATAGAATACTTTTTAGATAGTTTTCGGTATTTTTATCACAATAAACACGGACAAGATTTTTGATAATCGTTCATCGAAATTTCAATGGCGTCATGGTATAGCGAGAGTGATGTCAGTGGAAACACCACCCCCATTAAAATTTCGATGAACGATTATCAACAATCTTGACCATGTTTATGGTGGAGGCATGCTGACATATATATACTTACCTGTAACGTACCGTTATTGACTTTACACTTTATGTAATATGCTGGGTAGACTAATGTTTGTAATTAATGTTTAAAATTTCGATGAATGATTATCAAAAATCTTGACCATGTTTATGGTGATAAAAATATCGAAAACTATCTAAAAAATCTTCAAAACTGCACACGCCCATACTAAAATTCCGAACCCTTAAATAAGATGGCAGAAAAAAGAAAGAGAACCTATCATTTTCACGATGAGTGGGAGGTCTAGTTTTTTTTTACTACCGTGAAAACAGCCTGCGAATGTCTCATTTGCAGGGCGACTGTAGCAACGACAAAGCGACACAATGTGGAAAGACATTTATCAACTTGTCACAAAAGCTACCATGCTAACTATCCACTGGGAAGCGCACTACGAGCAGAAAAAGGTCGCGATTTGAAAGCGGCTTTAAGCAAACAGCAATCTCATTTTACGAGACCAGTAAAATGTTTCCAAAAAGAGACTGAAGCTTCATTCAGAGCTGCGCAATTCTTGTTCAACAGGAAGAAGGCATTTTCTGATGGGGCGGTTGTCAAGGAAGCAACGATGATAATTGTCAAAACCGTGCTTAAAGACGAGAAATACGAAACCGACGTAGTATCAACTCTTTCTAATGTTCAAATGGCTTGGCCGACTTGTTTGAACGGGATCTGACGAGGTGCAGGTGGTTCAGTATTCAGCTTGACGAGTCGGTGGACAACAGCAGCACAGCTGATGGTTTTTATCAGAATGGTATTCAGTGATTACTCTACAAAGGAAGAACTCCTGACATTACTGCACTTGAAGACAACTACCCAGGGAGTTGACATCTATAAATCAGTTAAAGATTTTTTGGTGGAGAAAGGGGTACCGCTGGCAAAGCTGGTGTCGGTGGTTACAGATGGCGCTCCTGCTATGATCGGTCGACGCGCAGGGTTCATCGCTCACTGTAAAGGTGACACAGAGTTTCCAACCACTCTGAATTACCACTACATCATCCACCAGCAGTCCTTATGTGCAAAGTTATTGGATTTGAACACGTGATGACTCCAGTTGTTAAGATCATAAACCGCATCCGTTCCAAGGCCAAACAACACCGAACATTCAAGGTACTATTGGAGAAACTTTCAGCTGAATATGGCGACCTGCCTTTACACACAGAAATTAGATGGCTCAGCAGAGGACGAATTCTGCTTCGTTTTTTGTCACTTCTGGATGAAATCAAAGAGTTCATGCAGTCTAGAGGGGAAGAGATCACGCTGTTGGAGGACACTAACTGGACACTTGGCCTTGCATTTTTAACAGACATTACTGAGAAACTGAACAGTTTGAACTATGAGTTGCAAGGCAAAGGTAAGACTGTTGCCGATATGATAAGTACTTTAAAGGCATTTGAAGCCAAGTTGAGCATTTTTTCTATGCATCTAAAGACGAAAAAGTTATTACATTTTCCTTCAGTGCAAATGATGCTGAAAGACAATGCATCGGGTTCTGAGGCTTTGAACAAAGTTAAAGATAAATACTCTCAAGTCATAGAAAGACTAGGACAAGAGTTTGAGAACAGATTTTGCGACCTTGGTCAACTTGAGCCATGCGTGTCATTTATTGCGAATCTTTTCAGGAACAACGACATATCAAGCATTGCTGCGAAGTTTGGTGCAACGTTCAGCTCTGATGCTGGACAGATGGAGAAGGAAATTATAACAATGCAAAATGACCTCTACCTCAAAGCCTATCAAGGCGTGCCAAACTTTTGGGGCCTAGTAGACACAGAAAAGTACAGTGGCATATGCACATCGGCTTTGAAGGTCGCAAGCATGTTTGGTACAACCTATTTGTGCGAATCAGCATTTTCTGACATGAAATTCATCAGGAACAAACACAGAACAGGCCTCACTGATGAAAATCTGCATGACTCGCTCGCTCAGAGTTGCAGTTTTAAGTTACACGCCAGAACACAACCCGCTGGTAGAGAGCATGCAATGCAAGGTTTACCATCAACTGAATAGGAATTATACCAGATTTGCTTGATTTTAGTTTTATCCTGGATGGAAATAAAATATTCATAATTGGACACGTAGTGGACCTATGGATCGTTTCGTTATTATTGCTGTTTGTTTTTGTTGCTGTTCCTTGACACATTTATATTAAAAAAACGATATCTGATATTTCTTCCAAAATGTTGCTGTATTATTTTTATCCATAGGAACTCGGATTTTAGTCTGCGTGGTGACTGGCTGTCCGTTTTGATTCTATAAACACTTGCTACGCGAGATTGGACCAAAGGTAAGGTGAACTACTGCGTCGCTCAGGTCTATGCGTCCATATATTTGAGATTGCTCTCTTGTTTGTTAAATGCGACGTTTGATAGTTCAATTGTTAAGTCTATTTACGTTATGCTTTTGAAGGTTGATTATAGTAGTATCATTTTACAATGTTCAATTTAAAAAACATTGAGTTTCAAAATGTAAGTGTCATTGATAGTAAATTATTTGCTATGTTGTAATAATTGCTGATGATTTCCTGAAACATATTAAACGTTAACAGTTTTCTACTCGATAAAATTCCAGTAATTATCAGTAATTGAGCAAATTCGCGTTTTCAGAAGTGTGCATCGAACTGGCCCACAGCTTAATCTGTACCCAGAAAGTAGCCCGCAGCAACGAAAAGGTTGGTGACCCCTGGTCTACAACATCAGCCAAAACACAAATCTGCCTATGACTTATGTACTGTAATAGAATATTTTTACCTGCTGTGATGATATATCTCCTACAGCAACGCTAATAGTGCAGCAAGGAGTTCGCAGTGTAGAGCTAGAGGCTTGGTTAGTCTGTTGAGATGAAAAAACACTTGAAGATCCTGAAGGCTTTTCCTTAGCTTGATGTTTTTTAACACTTTCTACAAAGGCGTCCAGGACTGCATCATTGCTGAGTTCAACAAAATCTACCTTGAATATGAAAAATTCAAAATTGGAATGACACAACTAAATCCAAAACATTAAGTTTGCAAATATTCAAATAGGGATTAAATTGTCCATCCTTGAATTAAATGCAGTTGAAGAAGTCGTCATAAGCTTAAAACTCATATAGGGCTCGAGGATTAGGAACTCATGATAAGTGTTGAAATTGTGCCAACCTCTGTGGATTTGCAGGTTTGAATTCAGATAAATTATGTATAAAAAGATTGATGAACTTATTACCATGTAACTGCTAATCAGTTACAACATTGTACACCATCTGAAAATAAAACCTGGTTAAATATCAGCCCAACATAAGATGTGAACTGGAAACCGGACAAGAAGCTGAGGTATACTCATCAGTGATCACCATTCTCCTTTTCCCCAAGATTAATATGAAAATCTTAGCGAACTGATCTGTTTCGAACATGTACCTGTTTAACACTTGAATATGGAGTTTCATTGAAATAATCAACAACAGCATCCAAAATAAGTGGAATGCAGACACCAGTGTGTCCTCCGAAGACGCCACAACTTATAGCAGGTATTGCTACTGATTTTAATCCAGCAGTTCCAACACATTTCAGACTTCGTAACACACATGCTTTCAGAAGAAGTTTGGGATCTGCTCTGTCGGAGATAGAATTCCATCTAGAAAAACAAAACATCATACTTGAATCTGTGAACGCATTTTTGATTTTGCACTGCTGTATAGAGATGACCATTGATCTACTTATTCCCAATAAGTGAACAATCTGAATAAATGAAGTATCTCGTTATATTGATAAAAAAGAACAATATATTTTTATGGTGATATGTATAAATATGCCATAAGGTGAATTGTTATAAAATCATTATCTGATATCAAACAGTGTTGATTCGAATTGCTTCAGAATTAAAAAACTTACATACATACTTTAAACTAATTATATTTAGGTAAAAAATATGATTAGGTCAACCTTGGACCAACAGCATGAACAATCTTCTTGCAAGCAGGTAGATTACCAGCGGATGTAATTTGTGCATTTCCTGCCAAAAAATTTCCATGATTCCTTTCAATGAGTTTGTTCAGTTCTTTTTGAATTAAATTCCCATTCATTTTATCTAGGGGAGAGAGACATCAGGAAATATATCAAAAATTTTAAAATTCTTTCAAGAATAGCTTAAACCAGTGATTATCCAGCTTTCATGATCTATGGCCCCTAGGAAAAATTCTCAGCACTTGTGGCCCCATGATCAAGAATTTGGCAGAAAACTGAGCCACCCAATAGCACAACTGAGGTCTAATAATGAAAACTACGAAATTTAATCTAGCCTTAACTTTTATATTGTAACATTTGGGCATTGCAGGCCTGGGCATGCAGAGATGCCTAGCGAAAGAACCACAGGGTGCAAAGAGGACACATGGCCCAGTTTGAGAGACCCTATTAAACCAAATGTGCATAGATTGTTTCATTATTTTATGGAATACGCTAGCACACTGATCCTTACTATGCATTGAAACATTATTACATTTTTCTCAAAATTGATAAAGCAGAGCAAATATTGAGAATTTATTGAATTTGAAATGATGAGAATCAAATAGATTTCCGTATTTTCCCGAAATTACGCCTATATCGACAATAGGCCGACTCCCTAAAAACGGCCTTAAAACAACGATTTTATAAAAAATCGCACATAAGCCGGTCCTACGAATCGTTACACGCCGGACGCTTCAAGAAAAACGAAATAGAGAACAGAATTACTGTAACGCAAACATTTCTCACGTTTATCGTTTCTGCATGTTAGCGAGGGCCGTAGGTGGATAATTACCCGTAACTCTTACTTGTTAATTTATGTTAATAAAGTCTATATTGCTTTTCAATGTGTCGTGATTGTGTCAGGAGTTTAAAATAGAGTTCCTGAATCAGCATAAAACAATTTCCTTTGATCGCCACAACGACGATTAATTTCGTTCCTTGTCCGTTTCAAGGAAAGAAATAACGCTGTATTAACACATTCTTATAAATCACTTAAATCTTAACACGCCAGACGCCTTAAGAAAGGCGCAGAAAGAAAACAAAATTGCTGTAACACAAATATTTCTAACGTTTATCATTTCTGTTTGTTAGCGACGGCCGTAGATCCTTACTCGTAACTCTTACTTGTAAATTCATGTAAAAAACGTCTACATTGCTTTTCATGCGTCGTGATTTGTATTAATGGAAGGGATTGTTGTCGGGAGTTTAAGAGTCCCTGAGTCAGCATAAAACAATTTACTTTGATCGTCCACAACGTGGTTAATTTCGATAAGAGTCCTCATCACCGCCCCTTAACGGATAACATATCCATATCGTAAAGGTGCTTAAAAGTCGTGCGCCGTTAATTGCCTCTACGGCGAAAGTGCACCAAATAATAAAGTTTTCACCACGAAACAACTGGCCGTAAATCGACACTGTTGCTGTTATATAAAAGAAACATAAGCGAAAACAAACAATCACCGCCTGTACAAGCGTCACGTGTCAAACAACCAATCACAGACTGTACAAGCCATCAGCTGTATGATAAGACAACCCACTTTCACAAGCGAGTGTGTGTGCGCGACTCTTTTTATCGTGAGAACTTGGTAAGATTTGAAGCTTTTGGAATTACCGGCAAGTCAGCATAATATCAGTGATCAAATTCTGATACGTGAATGAGCCGATTTTTTGGTGCAATCTGAGTCATGCGCGTATAAGACGGTCCCTTAGTTTGGCAACTTTTTTTTTGAGTTTCAAACTGGGCCTATACGCGATCATATACGGTAAATCAGAAAATGGTAAATTCAGTGCCACTAATCAATTCCCACCAATTCAACTATTGATGTATACTCATTTATAGAAATGCAATTATATTATAATGAGTCATGAGGGAGAGCAGTGCTCAAATATATGAACATGATGGTTGCACATCAGAACTGAAACTGTAAAACGAGATTTATTAAAAATTGATCGATGTATGCCACAAAAATTCCTAACAATTAGAATAAAGTGGCAAAATTTCAGATGAAATATCAGCTTCCACGAGAAAAACAATAGCAAAAAGCCTTCTAATGGCTTTATCCATCCCAAGTACTGAATCGCTAAAGTGATTTTTTTCCAACACTAAAAGGAGAAAACCTAAACAAAACAAAAAAATTATAATTTTTGAAATAAAAATGAATACTAACCTAGGTTCTTGATGACTCCAGAAACCCCTCCAGGAAGAAGTGCAAGTTCAGGATTTGAAGCGTTAACTATGACATCACACTTATGTTTGATAATATTTGTCTTCCATACTTCCAGTTTGAAAGAAGTTTTTGCCAAAGTTACCGAAATAAGTTTTTGTTCTTCAAAATCCTGTAAAAGAGATAGTTTTGACATTCAGCAGATTGGCAAATATATGGCTAGGCCATCATATGCCTTGAGATAAACATGACAATAAGTATTTTGTAATACCTAAAGCACTGTTTGTCAACCAGGGCCTCCAAGAATCCACATAAAGATTCGAATTAGGAAAGCTTTGTGTGCATTAGTTCAAAGTTTCACATAGATACTTCACTATGCACTAATTGCGGTGAATATTCAATAATTTTAAAGAGAATAAACGATGATTTGTTCATTCCTTTGCTTTGTTTCACTGCCTTCGTGTTGAAAACCTTTGGGAGGGGGCACAGAACATGATAGATAACCACTGAGTTCAGAGATGCAAAAAGCAATGATCAACTTAAAATAAAATGAGAAATAACTCACCACAGATAATGATTTTTGAACTTTCGGTCTCAAAAACAAATTCTTCTTATTATATTCAATCCATTCTGCACATTCCTTTGACATGGTAAGAATAACACAATTATTAACTCTTCCTGTTTGTTCGAGAAAATTTCTCCCTTCATCTCCCTGATAATATTCTTTTATTCCAGGTTCATCCAAAATATGCTTCATTTCAACGATAGTGGTGCGTAAAATTTTAAAATCAGTATTAACTAAAATAAAACAAAAGTGAATTTCTAATCAGGAATTGATTCTTAAAAACTTTTTCATATCAAAGAAGCGT